CATAATTAGCTTTATGTCATACTTAATCAAATTTTAGTCTTTTTAATTCATTACTGCATTCATTACGGTCGGTAGGAAAGGCAAGGTGTGGCATCACTGAGAGAGAGAGGGGAGGGCAGTTGCTCAAACTTTCCAAAATGATAGAGGTAAAGTGGGTTTTATATTCACACATTTGTTCATTTAGAAGTGGATATATATATATATATATATATATATATATATATATATATATATATATATATATATATATATATATATGTGACCTTTATACTTCACTCCCGAACCCACTTCATTCACCCTTCAGCAATACACACACACTGGACTCGGATGAGGAGGATTTTATTTTGCCCTGCACACAGAGCAGTAACAGTGAGATCAACACGGTTTAACTTAGCATCCACATCCACAGCAGTTCTCCCTAACTCTGCTGCAGTCTATATTGAAAGCTTATATTATTATTATATAAAACAAAGACAGAAATATAAAAATACAGAAAATGCGTAACTAATATCACTGAATAAACACATTTAATACCTTAACACAAAATATAATAGAAAATTACCTGCACACAGAGCAGTAACAGTGAGATCAACACGGTTTAACTTAGCATCCACATCTAAAACACATATAACTCCATTAGCACTTGCTGTATAAGCACATGGGGGAAAATATCAAGATGAGATTAAAAGTATCAAAATCAAACAAATATGACAAGAAAACCCACTCTGTCGATCAATAAATGTATATAAAGTGTGCTAGACTTTTAAAACTGCATCCAATCGATCATTTAAATGATATTTTTATATTTTAGTGTGGAGCTAACACAAACCCGACTCACCCACAGCAGTTCTCCCTAACTCTGCTGCAGTCTATACACAGACTCTGTGTGCAATAGCGCCACCGGTGAACTAGCAGGAACTGCACTCCCATTAAAGCAGGATTTAATACTGAACTATTAACATGGTATATATTTATTTCTTTACATATATATATATATATATATATATATATATATATATATATATATATATATATATATATATATATATGTAATCAATGTAATCAATATAACTTATCTCTAATACAACAACAAACTCTCAGGGATGTCATTCCCTCGCTGTAAATGCTAGCGCTCGCGGTTTGTTTCTGCAACCTCGCTGCGCGCGCATCCTGAATGTTTCCAAACCGGTAGTTCGTCTATTAAACTCGAATTTAAAGAATTAAAAGTACAAGGTAGTATTGAGACAATAATTGAATTATCCGCTGAGTAATTACTTTCGGAAAAATAAATTATTTAAATACAAATTTAAAGACGTAATCAGTGATTTATGACTTTTTTGGAAGTTACTTACCACACAGACTGATTTGCCCAACACTAACCGTAAATCAACGCGTTTTTATTTTCGCAACCCATTTGTCCTCTCCCGGCAGCCGTGGCTACACGTCACAATGGAGGTCATGGGACGTCACAATTGTAGCATCTGGTCGTCATCTTTCTATGCGTCTGGTAACAACACAGTTGTGTTTAACATGTCTACACCTAATTACTGATAACTGCTATCGAGCGAATGAGCCGCGGAGCGCGTGTGCTGCTGATATCTCCTGCGCCGAGCAGATTCATCCAGGGGTGTGTGTAGACTGCGGCACAGCAGCTGTGCTCACCGATGTGAATCCGCCGCGATGTTTCTCTGAGGGCTTTCCTGGAGGTAAATCATGGATGTCGGAGAGAAGATGGAGTCAGACGATGTGGTGATCATCGTGGAGAACGAAGCGGAGAGTAAGCGCGATGGAAACGAGGATGAAGGTGGAGGAGGTCAGGGCGGAGTGAGGATGATGATGATGATGGCGGCTCTGATGGACGTGTGTCCCGTGTGTAAGCTCAGCTTCAGCAGCAGAGAGCCCAAACTGCTGCCCTGCTTGCACTCCTTCTGCAAGAGATGCTTACCTGCCCACAGCTCACCTGCCGGCACCACCAGCACCGCCAAACAGCGTAAGAGTACACCAAGTTACCGCATTTTGTCTGTGAGAGTCAACTACCACCTTAATAAACATTGTAGACATCATAGTGACTCGCTTTGTCAGCTTTAGATGTCAATAAGAGTAAACTACCACCTTAATAAACATTGTAGACATCATAGTGACTCGCTTTGTCAGCTTCAGATGTCAATAAGAGAAAACTAACAGCTAAATAAACACTGTAGACATCATAGTGACTCACTTTGTCAGCTTTAAATGTCAATAAGAGTAAACTACCACCTTAATAAACAATGTAGACATCATAGTGACTCACTTTGTCAGCTTCAGATGTCAATAAGAGTAAACTACCACCTTAATAAACATTGTAGACATCATAGTGACTCACTTTGTCAGCTTTAAATGTCAATAAGAGTAAACTACCACCTTAATAAACACTGTAGACATCATAGTGACTCACTTTGTCAGCTTTAAATGTCAATAAGAGTAAACTACCACCTTAATAAACACTGTAGACATCATAATGACCCACTTTGTCAGCTTTAAATGTCAATAAGAGTAAACTACCACCTTAATAAACATTGTAGACATCATAATGACCCACTTTGTCAGCTTTAAATGTCAATAAGAGTAAACTACCACCTTAATAAACATTGTAGACATCATAGTGACCCACTTTGTCAGCTTCAGATGTCAATAAGAGTAAACTACTACCTTAATAAACATTGTAGACATCATAGTGACCCGCTTTGTCAGCTTTAAATGTCAATAAGAGTAAACTACCACCTTAAAAAACACTGTAGACATCATAGTGACCCACTTTGTCAGCTTCAGATGTCAATAAGAGTAAACTACCACCTTAATAAACACTGTAGACATCATAGTGACTCACTTTGTCAGCTTTAAATGTCAATAAGAGTAAACTACCATCTTAATTAACACTGTAGACATCATAGTGACCCACTTTCTCAGCTTTAAATGTCAATAAGAGTAAACTACCACCTTAATAAACATTGTAGACATCATAGTGACCCACTTTGTCAGCTTCAGATGTCAATAAGAGTAAACTACTACCTTAATAAACATTGTAGACATCATAGTGACCCGCTTTGTCAGCTTTAAATGTCAATAAGAGTAAACTACCACCTTAAAAAACACTGTAGACATCATAGTGACCCACTTTGTCAGCTTCAGATGTCAATAAGAGTAAACTACCACCTTAATAAACACTGTAGACATCATAGTGACTCACTTTGTCAGCTTTAAATGTCAATAAGAGTAAACTACCACCTTAATAAACACTGTAGACATCATAGTGACTCACTTTGTCAGCTTTAAATGTCAATAAGAGTAAACTACCACCTTAATAAACATTGTAGACATCATAGTGACTCACTTTGTCAGCTTTAAATGTCAATAAGAGAAAACTAACAGCTAAATAAACAATGTAGACATCATAATGACTCACTTTGTCAGCTTTAAATGTCAATAAGAGTAAACTACCACCTTAATAAACATTGTAGACATCATAGTGACTCACTTTGTTAGCTTTAAATGTCAATAAGAGTAAACTACCACCTTAATAAACATTGTAGACATCATAGTGACTCACTTTGTCAGCTTTAAATGTCAATAAGAGTAAACTACCACCTTAATAAACACTGTAGACATCATAGTGACTCACTTTCTCAGCTTTAAATGTCAATAAGAGTAAACTACCACCTTAATAAACATTGTAGACATCATAGTGACTCGCTTTGTCAGCTTTAAATGTCAATAAGAGTAAACTACCACCTTAATAAACATTGTAGACATCATAGTGACTCACTTTGTCAGCTTTAAATGTCAATAAGAGTAAACTACCACCTTAATAAACATTGTAGACATCATAGTGACTCACTTTGTTAGCTTTAAATGTCAATAAGAGTAAACTACCACCTTAATAAACACTGTAGACATCATAATGACCCACTTTGTCAGCTTCAGATGTCAATAAGAGTAAACTACCACCTTAATAAACACTGTAGACATCATAGTGACTCACTTTGTCAGCTTTAAATGTCAATAAGAGTAAACTACCACCTTAATAAACACTGTAGACATCATAGTGACTCACTTTCTCAGCTTTAAATGTCAATAAGAGTAAACTACCACCTTAATAAACATTGTAGAAATCATAGTGACACGCTTTGTCAGCTTAAAATGTCAATAAGAGAAAACTAACAGCTAAATAAACAATGTAGAAATCATAGTGACACGCTTTGTCAGCTTCAGATGTCAATAAGAGTAAACTACCACCTTAATAAACATTGTAGACATCATAGTGACTCCCTTTGTCAGCTTTAAATGTCAATAAGAGTAAACTACCACCTTGATAAACATTGTAGACATCATAGTGACCCACTTTGTCAGCTTTAAATGTCAATAAGAGTAAACTACCACCTTAATAAACATTGTAGACATTATAGTGATTCACTTTGTCAGCTTTAAATGTCAATAAGAGTAAACTACCACCTTAATAAACATTGTAGACATCATAGTGACTCACTTTGTCAGCTTCAGATGTCAATAAGAGTAAACTACCACCTTAATAAACACTGTAGACATCATAGTGACTCGCTTTGTCAGCTTTAAATGTCAATAAGAGTAAACTACCACCTTAATAAACATTGTAGACATAATAGTGACTCACTTTGTCAGCTTTAAATGTCAATAAGAGTAAACTACCACCTTAATAAACATTGTAGACATCATAGTGACTCACTTTGTCAGCTTTAAATGTCAATAAGAGTAAACTACCACCTTAATAAACATTGTAGACATCATAGTGACTCACTTTCTCAGCTTTAAATGTCAATAAGAGTAAACTACCACCTTAATAAACATTGTAGACATCATAGTGACTCACTTTGTCAGCTTTAAATGTCAATAAGAGTAAACTACCACCTTAATAAACACTGTAGACATCATAGTGACTCACTTTGTCAGCTTCAGATGTCAATAAGAGTAAACTACCACCTTAATAAACATTGTAGACATCATAGTGACTCACTTTGTCAGCTTTAAATGTCAATAAGAGTAAACTACCACCTTAATAAACACTGCAGACATCATAGTGACTCACTTTGTCAGCTATAAATGTCAATAAGAGTAAACTACCACCTTAATAAACACTGTAGACATCATAGTGACTCACTTTGTCAGCTTTAAATGTCAATAAGAGTAAACTACCACCTTAATAAACATTGTAGACATCATAGTGACTCGCTTTGTCAGCTTTAAATGTCAATAAGAGTAAACTACCACCTTAATAAACATTGTAGACATCATAGTGACTCACTTTGTGAGCTTTAATTGTCAATAAGAGTAAATTACCACCTTAATAAACATTGTAGACATCATAGTGACTCACTTTGTCAGCTTAAATGTCAATAAGAGTAAACTACCACCTTAATAAACATTGTAGACATCATAATGACTCACTTTGTCAGCTTCAGATGTCAATAAGAGTAAACTACCACCTTAATAAACACTGTAGACATCATAGTGACTCACTTTGTCAGCTTCAGATGTCAATAAGAGTAAACTACCACCTTAATAAACACTGTAGACATCATAGTGACTCACTTTGTCAGCCTTAAATGTCAATAAGAGTAAACTACCACCTTAATAAACATTGTAGACATCATAGTGACTCACTTTGTCTGCTATAAATGTCAATAAGAGTAAACTACCACCTTAATAAACACTGTAGACATCATAGTGACTCACTTTGTCAGCCTTAAATGTCAATAAGAGTAAACTACCACCTTAATAAACATTGTAGACATCATAGTGACTCACTTTGTCAGCTATAAATGTCAATAAGAGTAAACTACCACCTTAATAAACACTGTAGACATCATAGTGACTCACTTTGTCTGCTATAAATGTCAATAAGAGTAAACTACCACCTTAATAAACACTGTAGACATCATAGTGACCCACTTTGTCAGCTTCAGATGTCAATAAGAGTAAACTACCACCTTAATAAACATTGTAGACATCATAGTGACTCACTTTGTCAGCCTTAAATGTCAATAAGAGTAAACTACCACCTTAATAAACATTGTAGACATCATAGTGACTCACTTTGTCCGCTTCAGATGTCAATAAGAGTAAACTACCACCTTAATAAACACTGTAGACATCATAGTGACACACTTTGTCAGCTATAAATGTCAATAAGAGTAAACTACCACCTTAATAAACACTGTAGACATCATAGTGACTCACTTTGTCAGCTTTAAATGTCAATAAGAGTAAACTACCACCTTAATAAACACTGTAGACATCATAGTGACTCACTTTGTCAGCTATAAATGTCAATAAGAGTAAACTACCACCTTAATAAACACTGTAGACATCATAGTGACTCACTTTGTCAGCTATAAATGTCAATAAGAGTAAACTACCACCTTAATAAACACTGTAGACATCATAGTGACTCACTTTGTTAGCTTTAAATGTCAATAAGAGTAAACTACCACCTTAATAAACACTGTAGACATCATAGTGACTCACTTTGTTAGCTTTAAATGTCAATAAGAGTAAACTACCACCTTAATAAACATTGTAGACATCATAGTGACTCACTTTGTCAGCTTTAAATGTCAATAAGAGTAAACTACCACCTTAATAAACATTGTAGACATCATAGTGACTCACTTTGTTAGCTTTAAATGTCAATAAGAGTAAGCTACCACCTTAATAAACATTGTAGACATCATAGTGACCCACTTTGTCAGCTTTAAATGTCAATAAGAGTAAACTACCACCTTAATAAACATTGTAGACATCATAGTGACTCACTTTCTCAGCTTTAAATGTCAATAAGAGTAAACTACCACCTTAATAAACATTGTAGACATCATAGTGACTCACTTTGTCAGCTTTAAATGTCAATAAGAGTAAACTACCACCTTAATAAACACTGTAGACATCATAGTGACTCACTTTGTCAGCTTCAAATGTCAA